GCACCACATGCCCACATAAAACGGAAAAGAAGTTATTCATTCAAAATATCATATGTGTATACAAACTATCTTTTCCCTATGAAAGTTGCTCTAGAGTTTTGCCCTTCCTACCTGTAAATTAATACATGCCTGCCTGTGTGGTCATAGCCAAGGAGCCTATTAAGTTGCAGTGCGAGAGAAGTCTGGGTGAAAAGATTTACCCTCAGATACAATGCCTGAGCTGCAACAAATGTAAAAGATAAACAAATGAATCAAGACAGACATCTATTTCCTCCTTCAGTTTTCTAACTCCTAGGCCTTAGTTTAAGAGTCTTTCTCACTACTGAGTTGCAGCCACTATGAGTTGGTGAAAATATTTAAGACAAGAGTTCCAACAACATGTCAATGGCCCTCATTTCTACTTGCTCCTCATTAGTACTACTGTCAAGTAACAGCCAGTGCTTGACCAAATTCAGCTCATGGAATATGCTGGCCGATGCCAAACCAGAGTAGTTGGATGGAAACACTTTGAAGAGGTGCACCATCATCACAGACCACTATGAGTTGGTGAAAATATTTAAGACAAGAGTTCCAACAACATGTCAATGGCCCTCATTTCTACTTGCTCCTCATTAGTACTACTGTCAAGTAACAGCCAGTGCTTGACCAAATTCAGCTCATGGAATATGCTGGCCGATGCCAAACCAGAGTAGTTGGATGGAAACACTTTGAAGAGGTGCACCATCATCACAGATTTATTTTTTCTGAACCATCACATAACTGAACACACGAGCAATGTTTTCTGCTACCTCCAGGTGGTTAGGAGACACCAGGCCCAGACTGACAGAAAATGATTTGGCTTTAGTAATACATACAATCATCACATTACACAGGCATGAAGTAATCAGCCTAAAGAAAACTAACTAGTATAGGATGTGGCAGCAAAGATTCTCAAAAGAAACACACTGGCTCTTGAAATCACTCATATATATCTCTGCCTCTATCATCAAGGTTTTCAGTGACCTCCATCCAAGAAACAATTTTTTTAAGATCTAAAAATTTCCTCATACATCACCACTTCTTTTTCTTAAACAAATAGACAAAACAAAATCACAAACAAACAGAAAAAACCTACTTCTTTCACTGAACCGTCCATATGAAATACATACAGGATAAGGAACAGAAAATGCATGCTAAGAAATGTGCACTGTTCCACCTCCTGGGGTCACATTTGTAATGAGGATAGCTTCAAATTATTTTCTGTTTGGAGAAGGAAAGGACACCAGCAGAAATCCACAGGAGTATATCATAGAAGAATTTCAAATACAACAGCAGGAAGAACAATATATTTAAATGATCAGAAAAATCACAAATTTTCATAGTGAACCAAGGCTGGTAACACACAACTTCAAAGTATCGATAGAGCAAATGCTGTACTTACTAGACTGCAGCCACAGTTGACAACCATATTAAGATTGCAGCTTTAGCAAAAGCAGAAGTCCTTCTTCCTTACACACCTTCATTTTATTTCCACCTTCCCTGAGCATAAAGAAACTTTCTTGGTCCACAGCAAGTTGCATCACTTATCTAAGGTAAAATCTTTGGTTGTCCAAGTCAGTTAGCTAACCCAGTTAGCAAGGCCATGAGGAGGGTAAGAGACAGAGGGCAAAACTATTCCTCCTTCTCAGATTGCCATAATTAGCTGCTTTATTTCATGCCCACCTGAGTGAAGCTAATGGCAAAGTGGGAAAGGCTTGCTCCTTGTTTCCTCTACTCTTCTCCCTTCTCTCACTGATGCTCTAGTTTTCTCTCATTTCTTCTGTATTTTCCATATAGTCTTCACCCAGAAGTCCTTCCTCCTTGTGCAGTAATTCTGATAATTGTCAGACTTTCCCATGAGCCAAATGCAATCATTTGCAGTTTAAAGCACCTTTCTTGCTAATTAGAGTACCCTGCAAATAGTACTGAAAAGATGTTTACTTCTGAAATCTTATCTACTGGTTCTAAAAGAAGTAGGAACATATGAAACAGAGTAACAGAAAAAAACCCACGTGTACAGACAAGAGTCACATACTTTTCCACTAATGACTGAGTGTGCTCTTGGTAAAATTGGTCTTGGACTTATCTACTGCAATGTGCATCATTAACTTAAGAATTCATGTGAAGAATTATTTGTTAAATTCTAGAAACACTGAGTAGTGCCATCATGCCTCTTGCAGTTAATTTTTCTTCATCCCTAAGTAATTATGCCCTGCAAGGCATAATTTATAGAAAAAATGTCAACATAAATTCTTACTAAAAATTCTTACAAAAGAATTGTTTATTTGGTAACATAAGGATAATGTTGTAAGGAGGACATTATTTGATCATGTTACAGATTAGGAGTACTAGAAATATTACATTAAAAAGTCAGCTATATCTAGGTGTATGTTAAAGACGGGATATTTAGATGAGGAAGAAAAAAGATTAAATAAATATTTTACTTTACACCTCTCAAGAAAGAGAAACAGAGTAAAGGAAGTTGATAAAATTGCAAGCAGAAAGAAATTACCAGGACTATGCAGCAGAAACTTAAAAAAAGTGCATATGAGATATTTCTATTTATGTGCAACACAACATTTTCAAAGTTATCTTAATTTTTTTACTATGAAGGATACATAACTTGTTTGAATGCTGAACAGAAGCAATTTTTAGGATAACTTTTAGACCTAATTACTGGGAAAAACATGTATTTATTTATTTTTGTAGATATGATGCTTTCTGGTATGGCTGTTTCAAAATGATCAGGTCAATACTGCGATAAAACATTAATGTTTGAAGACATTTCAACATGAATTGACAAATCTCCAGCAGTTTCTCTTTGCTCAGTTTTATTTTTTAGTCTAAATCCCATTAGACCCATAAGAACATGCCTACCATGAATCCAGCAACTGTATAATGCATTGGGAGCAAAAGCAGATCATTCAAAACTTTGAAGTTCATCACAAACATTCAGACTACAAAAAGATGGACATTTTTTTATGACGAAGCTGGTAAAACACTGAAATAAGTTCTCCAGAGAGGTGACAGTTGCCCCATCCCTGCTAATATTCACGGTCAGGTTGAATGGGGCTCTGAGCAACCTGATGTAGTTAAAGATGTGCCTGCTTATTGAGGGGGTTGGACTATATGACCTTTATAGGTCAATTCCAACCCAAACTATTTTAGCATTCTATGAGTCTATGATCATAAAGGCTACTAATATCACTAATATCACCAAATTGTTGATTCATGATAAAATGTAAATCCCAAATGTGGATTTACTGGCGTCACTCAGAAGCATTATATATCCTGATCTTCCTGACAGCAAATGATTTGAAAGACACCTATTCTTTCAGTATTTTCAAAGAAAAATTGTGAAGCAAGGTACTCCTGCTTCTCATCAAAACCAGACTACCTAGTTAGCGCTAAACAAGGGACTAAGAAAAGAGTAACAGAGAACTGTAGGAAGGGAAAAACATTATACAGAAGAAAGGACAGAAAAGTACAGTAGAAAAGAACTTGAGATGACAATAAATATATTTTTTAATAACAGAACCATGTAAAGAATAGAATAAGAATGATTTCATTTTATTTTCTTCTTCATGAAGGAGGAGGACTAGTTTCTTAGTAAGAGACACTTTTACATATGAATACACACAACTCAGCAGAGCAAGTATTGAGAGCATATATTATGACATATAATTTTCCCAAAATTCAGTTAGAATACCAAAATAATTCAAGTCTGAGAGCTATATCTCAAGGGTTGTAGAATTAGCTGTCAAATTTTAGAATTCATTGCTTCAAGCCTGTCTACTGTATTAGGCTACTCAGGAAATAATACAAACATTTTCCAAATTATATTTAAGTAAGTAAACCCCTTAAAACATCTACTGAGTTCTGGCAGACTCTCATCAAAGGAATTCAAGAACTGCTTGATTTATACATCAAAGCTTTGGCAATGTAACAAAATGGGGGGAAAATATAAGCAATTCTCAGTTAGTGGCATTTATCTAGCATTAAACATTGTCTAATAGTTATTGTTTCCTATCCCAGATAAAAAAAGACAAAAAAAACCCCAAACACCCAGACCCAGAGTAGCATTATATATTTTTTCATTTCTCTATTGTCTGTTCCCCTAGAAAAGCAGGAGAATCAATACCACTACCAGAAACTTCCAATTAGGAAAGTTGCTATAAATTTTGCAGATGTTTCAAGTCAAAGGAACCATACTGAACTTGGCTGGGTCACAGTTTCTAGTGTTCTATTTTATTTTTTTCTGATTTTAGGCCAAAAAGTAACTTTCTGATAACAGTTCTACTAGTATAGCAACCCATTCATAAACTTGGTGATAATAGTCTTTGCTGGTAACCAACAGCAGGTAGCTTGTTAATATTATTCAGATCGGAATCATATTACTGATTATTGTCATTCAATCCTGATAATAATACAAGTTATGAAATATCAACCATAGTGAAAAAAAAGAAAGGTAGATTTAAAAGCAAAAGACACAAACAGGATAAAAGTAAGTGGTAAGAACACAAAAGTAACCATACTTACAGTATCCTCTCTTTATCAAAGGCTAAAAGTCTGTTTCTGAGGTACAGTATAAGTACAGAACAAAATATTTTATATTTAAGCATCTTCTGGACTCCAAGCATTTTCCAATTTCTCCCAGAAAATGAGGATTAAACAATTCACATTCAGCAATGCGTTCATATTACTCACTTCAAAGCATATGGCCACTAAGGAATTATTTTTGCAATAAATGCTAAATGCACACTTTCATTACTTTTTTCAAGCAAAAATGGCATTTGTAACAAAACCAAATTTTCTCATAAAATAATCAAAAAGGGGGAAAAAAGAGAAAAAAGTAATAATCTACCCAAATAGCACAATAAAAAGTAAGAAACCCAAATATACATTTTTGGTGTCTCTGCTTTTTCTAAAAAGATAAAATATCTAGACTAATCAGCATACACATTTAAAAATAAATGTCTTACCTCATATGCATTGCCCAAGAAAGGAATTTGACTCCTAAAGTAGCCAAGTTTGTAAACCCCTATGAATAGAATAGAATAGGGAATCAATTCAGATTAACTTCCGATCTTTTCTTCTTTGTTAACTTCAGTGAAAAAGAAAAAGTAGAATTAGTCTGCAATATCCTGCACTTATATCAAGTCATCTTTCCTAACCTTATAGTTAGGTTTTTACAGTATGCACCTTACATGGACTTATAACACTGAATTTGCTGGGAGTGAGAATACACATACTTAGAATAGGGAATCAATTCAGATTAACTTCCGATCTTTTCTTCTTTGTTAACTTCAGTGAAAAAGAAAAAGTAGAATTAGTCTGCAATATCCTGCACTTATATCAAGTCATCTTTCCTAACCTTATAGTTAGGTTTTTACAGTATGCACCTTACATGGACTTATAACACTGAATTTGCTGGGAGTGAGAATACACATACTTGCAAACCATATATGAACTCACATACATGCAGCTGTATATATAGTTACTGTCTTTTGATCTCACAAATGACCACAGCAAAATTCTGAAAACTGCTACATGAGTAGTTCAGAATCTTTTAATTGGTCTATTTATGCAAATTTTTACTAATTCACATTATTAACTCCCTAAGTTATATGCGTCTATGGCATACTGACAGATTTTTACCTGTCCTGAAATAAAGTGTTCAGTCTATGAAAGTGAAAGGTATTCCTTTCTGAAAACATAATGAACTTCAGGGGCAAAGCAGAATTGGCACCTCAGTCTCAAAGAAAGCTCTATTCCACATTTCTGCTCTGGTAGGGCAAATAGCTCCTTTGTAAGAAACTGGCTGCTGTTTAATCTTCTCTAGGGCCACAGTGTCCATACAAACTACTTCATAATTTAAAAACAAATTTCATTTGAATCCATACTGATTAAGTTTAGTCTTAAGTCTACACCACCTTTTACATGAATTTGCATGTACTCTGAGCTACACTGTGTGCTTTTCACATACCATCACTGCATCTGACACCTATGGCATGCTACACAGGACCAAGACAATATGGTTGCAGTCTGACCTTGAATAACCTTGGCACAGCTGGCAGGTCTCTGTCACCGGCCAGTGTCCCAAACCCAGAGGTGTGGACCCAATAAATGGAAGCACAGAGGGAGATATGACTAACCTATCCTAAACTTTTTCTACAAACAACAATATAGATGTAGTCACTAATTGCTATAGAAACACTCCTGGGTTTAGATGAAGGCTTGTCATGTCTCATTTTCTAGTTTGAACAGAAAGTAACATATGTGTCCAAGTATATCTATATTTCTTTACTGATATAGCTTCTGACACGCTTGAGATTTCCATTTAATGCTAAATAATGCATAATGAAAGAAAGAAAAAAAAAAGCATGCTTTGTATCTTACTTGTTCTCCATAAGTAGTCCAAAACAGGCCAGGGACAGAATGATAAAACCAATTCTCAGGAGAACTGTTCCCTGTGATAATGCCTGTTAAAAAGTAGGCAAATAATTAATTTAGAGTATTTTCCTGAAGAGAAATGAAGTTTTTACAGAACAGTAGCTTCAACTTTCTCACTCAGTGATATTAGTATCTGCTTTTAAATTAATTTGTTACTTTAAATTTTACAACAAAAACATCTACTCTGGAATGCACACTTATCTGAAGTAACCACCTTCATAGTTGTTTCCTGAATGCTGTATTTCCAAAACAATGTTTAATCCCCTTCTGCACTATGTTTTTTCCCAAAGTTACTTATTCCCTTATGACTTTATCCAAGAGGGAACAAACATTTCTAGATAAAACTCCCAGCAGCCCCACTCTTTTAATTTCACCTTATGTTACCAGGTCTTTACAACAGTTATCTATGAATCCCAATGGATACCAAAACCTATATATTGGTGAGAATAACAATTCACATGACATGATCATATTTAAGAGGAAACAAAATTAATGTTTTCCGTTCATAACAACTCAACACTTTGTTCCCAACTCAGCAAAACACTTCAACTCATATCACTAAATTCAATCAGACTTAAAACACTTTAAACACTAACATGTGTGTGAGTACTTGGATGAATAGCAAGATGAGGACTTCTGTCCTTAAAATTTACATCAAAATGATATAAACAAAACTCAGGAAAACATAAATTATTTTGATGGTAAAGTCTGAATTTTTTTTCATTTATTAAATATTTTTTATTGTACAGAACTGCTTTTGACAATATATTATTTAATCAGTTTTCTTGTTCTCTCCCTGACTTCATTTCAAAAAGTAGTTTTGAAAAGCCTTTGTTTTTTCATTAAAAAAACCCAACAAAACAAAACACAATTAGTGGATCTGAGTTACAGGAATCCCTTTTTGCTTCAACAGTAATACAGTTTATGCATCTTGCACTTCAAGATTGCAGGCATTGGAAAAAATAAAACTCTATGAATGTCTGCACTGATTTCAATAAATCCCATTCACTGACATGTCCAGATTCCTTCGGTGGTGGCCCCAACTCCTCAAAGAGATCTAAGGTAAGTATCCGTGAGCGTGGGAGGCCACAGGAGGATATTCTCAAGTTTTACAGCTGTGTGAACTTAGAGTGCCCATGTTTGCAAAACACATCAAACCACACACTCAGGCTGGGCAAGTTTCTGTTGCTTTACTGGAGAATCACAAGCACCTACTTAGATATCCTTAACAAACTGTTATTGAACAAAGAAAACTCAATTCCAGCAACAAGCAAGCTAAACAGCAGCCTCACCAGTTTACAAGCCAGAACACAGTTCTCATAAATGACATCTGTCAAGCCACTCTGTTGCACAGATTTATACCAGGATAAAATCAAACTTATTACTGCATTTTTACATTTCCAATCTGTTCCATCCCTCATTATGATAAACTTTCCGTTGTTAGCATGAGGCAATTTGAAGTGACAAAATATTTGGACAGACCTTTTTTATAAAAACACGCACAAATTCTATTTCAATTTAATAAAATGAGGAGTTCTTTACCTGCTCATCTGGCCACAGTGAGATCAACTCCCACTTGCTGTAGAAATTGGGCCATACAAAAAGACAAGAGGTGAGCAAAGAAAAACATGATTTGGCACAGGCATAAGGGAACTCGCACATAAATTTCTTAGAAATGCTTTGATATGTTTTTCAGTGATTGTTACTTGTCAAACAAAGGAGTTTGCCAGTGAACAACAACTGGAATTCAGGGCTTTTCTCCTTAGACACTGTCCTCACACATAAGTTGAAGAATTACACCTACAGTTTTTAAACCTTGTCCTCCTAACCAAGTAGGTCTGATTTTGCTTTGTTCCCAGTGTGACGCACCAGGTTCTGCAGAGTGCCTTAAAAATGTTCCCTCAGTGTTGGGGCACTATTCTGAGAAAAGGAGAGTAAGGTTTTGTATCCCACTCAGGCAGGAAAGGGAACTGAATATCAAATCTGGATTTTGATCAAGTTATAGAATTGCTACATTACAATCTATGGCTAACATCATACTTTATGGAAAATGAATGTAATTGCAATGGTTTTGATAGAACAAATGCTAATACTTGTCTTCAGGAAGGATCCAACAGTATGTGTCATGAATGAATAAGGGTGTCCCCAGTTTCCAGTTTAAAAGAGCAGCATGATTTCATGTTTTTATGCCCTCACAGTGTTTCCGAGATGGCTAGCATTAGACAACCAGTCACCAAGTCCTTGACATCAAGGTTTCCTTGTGATTCAAGTTTCAGAAAACTGAGGTGCTGCTTCATTCTATCTGCCTTTAAGTACCTTCACTGAAGTGCCTAGAGACTAGTTATTAACCTAAGCTTTTGATGTAGTTGGTGAAGAGAGAATACTTCAGGAATTATTCTATTTATTGACATTAGCTAGATTGCAAGTCTAGAGCCTAAATTTGGTATTGCACTAAGAGTTGGATTTGAGTGGATGATGGAAATACTTCCCTAAAGTAAACACCTTTGGATCATAGTAGTGCTTTTACCCATAACTTTCATCAAGCATTTTTTTCTTTGCTTAAAGATATATTTTATTTCTGAAGGAGTAGGAAAAAATTTAAATTACTCAGGACATAATAACAAGTTTTATTATCATTTTTCTATTACATTGCTATTGATGGACATTGAAATAATGATAGCTTGGTATTAGAGACACTGTAATATTGCAATTCAGACTGTGGCTTTGTCTCCAAAAAAAAAAGAATGGCTTGAATATCAGAATTTGGAGTTGTGACCCCATAAACTTCTCCTAAACACTTAAGACATGCAAAAAGGGAGCCTGGAGTCATCACTTGACTCTCCACATTTATCTAACCAGAGAAGAATAAAGCATAGATTAAGAACATGGAAATAAATTAATTAATTGCAGATCAGTTTTGAGCATAAATTAACAGGAAAAAATACCAATACATGTTAATGTATGTTAGTAAATCAGAACTGAAGCAACCTTATAATTTAAGTAATTCATACTCAAATATAAACAAACCTTTATCTTTAAATGGTGAAAATTCTATATGTGATTCTTTGGTATAACAACTACTTAAGCCAGGTGTGATCATATTTTACAGATTTGTTTTTTCAGGCTAATTTCCATTTCTCTTCAAACACTTTCCTACTTGAACCATAGCATCCTGAACACTAGCTGTTTGCAAAACTCCTTATGGGCAATACCATCTGTGGCCCAGAGCTGAAGGGCTGGATGACTCTAAATCACAACCTCCAGATGACAGTTAATTCCAAACTGGCACACCAAGTTCATTCAAAAGCATGACACTGTACTGCCTGAGCACAGTGTTGCAGGTTTCCAGTTCCCAAAACTTCAGCTCACTGGAGTGATGAATGGTGAGGCATAAAACCTTACTGGGAACCATGAAGGTAGAAGGTGTAAGTTAACCTGCAATGTAGGTACACACACCACATTCACATACAATTAAAAAAAAAAAAAAAGTGTTCCTTCATCTGTGCTCCTAGTCAAGGATTACCAAGACATTTGCAGTGAAATATACCATGATGCCATTGGGAATAGCAGCTTTTAGAAAAACAGTCATGTAGCATAAATTTTACTATTATTAATTTGCTTCCCTAACTTTCTCTTACAGCTTCAGTGGTATAGTTATATGCAGCCTTGATTCCTTTATTTGCTTTCAAACATGTATCACCTTATGAAGTGGATGCTGGCAGCTGAGGCATCCATTTTCTAGGCATTACTCTACCAAAATCAACAAAATAGTCAGTGGGTTATATCACTAAACTAACATCATATATTAAATCTATGCACTGCAAGCAGCCGTGTGAAAAGAATGTGTCTTTTACACCTTCATTAGTGCTAGCATCCTCATTCCACTTAAACATAGTATACATGGATGTATATATAAACTAAATGAGAATTTATATACTGGAGTATTTGTATAAACAGAGAAGCATGTGGGACCACAGCAGGTTCCCCAATTACAAGGCAGCCACAGCTTTGCAATGTGATTATTGGCTGCAATCAACCAGAAAAAAATATTTCTGTTGGATATTCATTTCACTGAAAGTTTTAAAAATATCTTTAAGCCTTAAAAAAAGGGAAAGTAGGATTATAGAGTTTAGTAAGAAGTTTACATGGCTTTGTAATCAACAGAATGCCACAGCATTATTATTTTATATTTTTTTAGTAATGAAAAAATAATTCATTTAAACAAAGGAAATGTTATTCCAAATGTGTATTTAGATGAGCATTGAAATATTCCAAACTGACATTCATATTTCAAAGGACTCAGATGGTTTTATGCCTTTGAAGAATAACATGGATGCATTTTCTTATCCTGATTTGTTCAGTGTTTCAAAAGAACTTCTAGGAATGATGTCAGCACATCTCAAGTTAACAGATGTTCTACTGTCACATATCAGACACTTTTGACATTCAAATCATGACTGCTAATACAGTGCTATGAAATTTGTATTGTTAGGTGTCTTTGGCTGCATGAATTTATTTTAACCTATAATATCTAGGAAAAAAAAGCTGTAAATTCTTAGCAATATTCCATACACAGTATTTGGTGATGTCCTATTGAATGGATATATTCACTGTATTCTCAACTTTCAAGAGATCTGTCTTACCCCTTACTACTTTTCGTCTAATTTAAACTACTCTCATATTCATAGAATTATAAGCACAGTAAATGTTACAGTATCTATCAACAATAAAAAAGACTGCAAAATGTGTTTAAGGTGCACTTCACTTTGATTTATGTGATACATGAAGTTTTGGAGCTATGAGACTTTTGCTTTGAATGTACTGCAGTTTTACACTCCTAGCACTCTCTCTGGGACTGGTCCAAATCCCATTTCTTCAATGAGCTTTGGATGAGATCTAGATGTGCAGAGCTCAGAAGTAATTTTTATTCACTAGATGTACCACAGACCATTATATAGAAAACAAACATTGCATGCTCTCTCCTGTGGAAAATATATATTTGTTCTTTCTTGTTTTGTCCTTTCTGTAAGTTAAATGTAGGTCATTCAGACAGAAGGTATATGGTTGCTCTTTATGGATAGAGAAATTTAACACTTCTACAGGGCGTAAGACCAAACTCTGAGCAACTGTAATCACTTGAGAAATGTAATAGCTGTGTGCTGTGTCTTATGGCTATTATAAAATGGAACTTATACCTAAAGATGAGGAAAACAGTTAGTTTTCTCCATTTATGGAGCTATGCCACAGTTATGACATAATTCAAAGCCAGACAGAAAGTTCCAGTTGTATCCATAGACATTTCATAACTCAGTGTAGTGGAAAACTGATATTGAAGAAAGATTTTTGCCAAGTAAAGTTATTCATACACAAGCTTCCTTCTTATGACAGCTTCCCCACTGTACTGCAGAGTGATGCTGGAATTCTGCCTTGGGACCAGCACTTTCTACACCCACGCTGAATGTTTATGTCCTGAGATGAGGTGCTTCTAGTCCCCTGTGCTCTCCTTCTTATCCTTACTACCTTATTACCCTGCACTTTTGTGCAGAGAATTTTCTAGTTGGTTTTCTATTTCTAGTTCATAAATGGTGGATCTTCAGGATGTTTCCTCCACGGCTGAAAGAATTCGATGACTATCTGGGGCTTGGGTGCATTTTTTCAGCTTCCCTTAATAACTATTCTTAAGCATCTGTAGTTATCAGCAGAGAAAATTATTTGGACCATCCATTTTTCCTTCCAGGACCAGAAAAGGGGGAAAACAATAAAAGAATAGAGGAGAAAAAATGCCTCATGATCAGATACCTTATTTCTTGCTGCTAAAAGAAATAACAGCAGATAGCAGCAGAGGAAAAAAAACAAAAACAAAACCAAACATAAAAACCCCACACAAAAAACCACACTGCTAAAAGAAATAACAGCAGATAGCAGTAGAGGAAAAAAAAACAAAAACAAAAACAAACAAAAAAACCCCACACAAAAAAACACACCCCCCTCAAACCCCCACAAACAAACAAGCAAAAAAAAAACCCCTCCAGTTTGGTCCCTATGCAAATATGACTTGCTTCTGGTATGTAGGAATCTAGAAGCATATCCGGAAAATCTTGCAGAGGCTTTTCTCAATATAAAATCATTGGCTGTCAGGCATACTGTATAACCTTTATACATTGGAGGTATTTATTCTTACCTTTGGCTTAATTTCCTGTCCTCAGAAACAACTTAGAATAGGCTAAGCCTAAAATGACTTAGTAATCTCCAAACTCCCTGCAGTTGCAGTGTGACCCTTTGCAGAGGTAAACATGGTATGTAGAATAACCTAATATTAATCAGAAGAGTATGTCTGAGGTAGCTTTTATATTATATTACATTCTGCAGTGTCCATTGAGTTGGGCAGGAGACTGCAATCAATGTCAGCCAAGGGTTGGAGATCACCAGGTGAGTGTGCCAGGACAAGACAAGTCACAGGACAGCAGAGACTGAAGAACCCAAGAGGTCCCTGGCACCCTGACAACCTGCCTATGGCAACGTGGGTTAGACAAATACAAGACTGCTGTTTAACTAAGGAGGTCTTAGAAAGTGTTTAAGAAGAGGGCCAAAGGGCATTTTATCAAACCGATAGACTTTTCTGGTGTTTTCTTAGGTCCTGCTAGGTCTTTGACAGATTTGTGGGAATATTAGATGCATTAAATTCTGGTTCATAACTAGATGATTTTACCTTAGGTACAGGAGAGTCATGAAGGAAGGAATTAAAAAAAAAGCTTGGAAGGATGTGAAGAACTACTTGGAAGTAGTTAATGTCTCACTTCTTGCAGGTGGAGATGGACTTGTAGTTCACCTCCAGAGGTTGCCAGGTATCCAAGGAGGAATACATTGTGTTACCAGGGAGACCCCATCAGCCCAAATGCAAGGTGATAAATACATGCCTCTCCTTGTTGCATTTCTATAAATGCTGCTGTATATTAGAGACTGGAAGAAGCATTTGCCCTGACATTTGTGCTCCTCCAACTCTGAACTCCTGCTGACACCAACCTTCCCCCCTGCAAGCACTGCAAGACCTTTGCAGTCTTCCTTCTAAAGCTTGGGTGTTATTGGCATCTAACAGTATGACCAACCTTGACATCTTAAAATCTACACAGTTTCAAGTCTCAAATGGTTCTAAAAATGGAAGCAGACACATCTTCCAGGAAAAGTATTTTTAAATTTAATTGCTTAAGTATATTCATATGCAAACAACTGATATGGTTATTAAACACTGTTTACTAAACTTTATCAAATATTGTATATTTAACATACAATTATATATTTAACCGTTCATGGTCATTCTTTTCACAGGATCTAGTTATTATTTTAATAGTTCAAATAAGATATGAGACAGGTTGTAGAGCCTCTGATCAATGCTTTAATATTTAAGCATGTTGTGTGTCATTACTGTTAGCAGGAGATTATATTTTATAAATGTAGGAAATACTTACAGTGACAGTAGCAAGAAGTTCAGTGTACAAATCCATTATTACAGCAAAATGTACAACTGCATAGCAATTGAGATAAGCTGGTACACTTGGATTGAAGACAACTTCTTTTCCAGTGATCTGTATAAAGCAAAACAGATACTAGCAAGATACTTCAAGAGCAATCTGCTCTGACCTGTTATTCCTTAATACTCTTTATACTTAGAAACACAAAGAAGGTGCACAGATAATTGCACAAGGATAATCTACTGTCAAATTTATCTACTACCTAGTGTGAGACAGAGTGCACATGTTCACAACTAAAATATAAAGAGAAATTACTGTACTCTATAGAAAAAAATTTGAAAATCTATTCAGGAAATGAATCATGAAAAAATAAATAAAAATACTTTTTTCCCCTTCAAATAAAAAGAAAAAACCCACAAGTAAAACATTCATTTCCTTCAGTTTCTGTTCCCATTTCATCTTCCCCTATGCTTTATGACTGCTAATTTGCTAATTTAAAATAGCATGTGTAGACTTTTTAACATTGATCCAGTAGCATTAAGAGGTCCAAGTAAATTACACACAACTGAAAGCCTGTGCATGTTCTATTTACCACTGGGATTTCCTCAGGAAGGCCAAGTCTAGGTTTGCCTGGTCCCCAGCCTGGCCCTTTGAATATGACAGAAAGCTTATTGCAGAATCCAGGTGTGGCCCAAAATGTGTTCCAAATATGAGCCAAGGGACGTATCTAGGAAAAAAAGAGCAAGTAAATTTTCATTGTTGATAAAATAGTTTAATAAAACATTGTAGTTTACTCTTTTTTAGCTCTCAAATAAATTATTTTTCGAAGTTTGTAAAGGATAAATTAGAAAAGCATGAAGACAGCTCAGAAAACCTGGCTGAAATAGGCAGCAGCCAAATCAAGCCCTTGGTTTACTGTGAGGAATACAATGACTTCTGCCCAGAGGAAAATCTGTTTTTCCATCTGTCTCTCCTATAATCAATCCAGAGTATTTTATGGCATATTGCATAGCTATATCTATGGTAGTTTTAAACTAGTATTTGATTACTGGGACCTTGACATGACATACTCCTAATAATTAAATTACTTAATCTATGACTGAAATGGATATAATTGTACAGGCTGTGGCCATCTTTCTAGTTTCCAGCCCAAACATCCCTGCAGGTAGAATTTCTCATTCTTTGAGATCCCTCCATGGATGAGCAGGCATAAAAAGCAAATATGGACTCCACTACTCCTCAGGCTTTTAGAGAGAATTTTTATCCAGCTTGATTGAAACCTGAACCAAAAAATCTAAGCATCACATTAAGAACTTTTTCTTCCCTTTATTTTTCCTTTTCTTGCCTTTATATATTTTCATAAAAAAAGGTATTATTTTTAGCTGTTCTGGAGGTTTTGTTGAGACTATGATAGCTGCTATAAAATTCAGTCAACACAAATGATTCTGTAGTACCCTGAACAGCACATATGCAAAACAGGTATAAACAGCAAAGATATTATACCATGGAATTATTTATGACATAGAACATTTAGAGGATACAAACAACAGAAAAAAGAAGTATCTTTTTCTGTATACTTTACTGCATATTGCAAAACAGAGATCATTCAGTCCAAGGCCTATTACATCATCATTGTAATTAGTTGTTAATTTTACTGTTTTGTGTTTTCATGATTACTACAAGCTCCGTATATATTCAATGCAGTGAGTAGAAATGACTGTGTTGTAATGGAATACTGAAGAAATTGTAGATAATGTAATTGACAAATTAGCAATGCAAGGATGGCCTCAACTGCCTAAGAGAGGAGTCTGTTTTGAACATGATTATCAGTTGAAGATACCAAAGTTGATGATACAAACTATAGCACCTGGAGCATGATGGGATCAAACGAATTTACTGGATGTGTTAAGCCATACACAACTTTTGCATCTTCAGCTTCAAATGTTCCTGGTGACAGAATAAAACAAAAGAACAATCAAATTCAAAAGTATACGTTAATTTGGTACATTGACTAGACATGAGAGAGAACACCTTTTGTTACTTACCAAATATCCTGTCCCAGATAATGAGTGTGCCACCATAATTTTTGTCAATACAATAAGGATTTCTACCTGTAATAAAAATAATTTATGAGACAGGTAATGGCTTATAAGAATACATGCAACTGAATTATGAAGGGAAATCATCATTAGCAGCACTTTACAATTTAAAAATAATTTTATAATATAGCTATTCCACCACTCCCCATACCTCTATAAAACTTCTTTTTTCTTACTAGCCTTATTGCCCTCTTTCTATTTAGATTCAGACATACAAATCAAATTGTAATAGCTAAAATATCTGTGAAATAAAAGGATTCATTTGGAGAGTAAAACCAGTTCCAAATATATTTATAAAGACGAACTGAAAAGCAAACAGAAATAATTTAACTAGTTTATACCTGAGAAAATATATGTTAAATATATATGTATGTGCAATCATCTCATTAACAGCTGTCAGCTGTCCCTATCTTCTGTGTCGTTTATCTGAGCCTGCATTTATGATCACTAAATTCAGTGTGAGGAAAACTGATCCTTCTTAGTTTTCTAGGGAATGTATTTGTGTATGAGCTGTCCTCTCAAAGTATGAGCAAAGAAACATTGATTGCATATCCCTAAGTTCATTGAGACTGTGCGGAGCAACTGTACAACCCTTGATCAGCTCCGGAGTGATTCTGCTTAACTCTGATGAGGATCAGAGGATTAGTTTAGAATTCAGCAAGTAAGAGCAAAGTGTTTCCCTCCAGGATTACCAGCAGTTGTGCAAATTTTAAGGATTAGATACTCAGAGCACTAAAGTCTTTTTAAAAAGTCTACACAGTGCCATAAACACTTAACGTTTGGAGGATATAATAAATATTAATAACACCCTCTGTAAATATAACTGTGTTTGAGTTTCTTTCAAATTATTTTGTTCTTCCATTCCCCTATTTTTTTAAACGTATTATCTCTGCATACTGAAGGAGCCAAGGTCATCTATGAAAATAACTTCCAATCCGCAGATGTGCTCATGACATGCTGTAGTATGCAGAGGAGTTATCAATTCAACTTACATATACTGTACAGTCTTGAGTGCCTTTGAATATTGATGAAAAGTCAATGATCATGCACTTGTGAGAAGTGAAATTTATCAACAATTCAGACACCTGAAACCAAATTCCACTAAGACATTTAACAGTTCTTCTTCCAAAACATAACCATGTCTTTTCACACATACAGTGCTTTAATATGAATGCAAAAGCTTGTTAGTGATTGACAAGCTGATGATGTTTCTGTAGCCTAGGAAGAATGAGGTATTTTTTCTATCACTCTTCATACATACAAGCATTGAATTGTTTTGCTCAAAAGTCTTCAAATTATTTCATGCTATCCACACCTTAATTTCTGCTCAATAATTAATCTCAAACATAAACAGTTTGAAACTAAAGTTCTAAAAATGTTTTTTTAAAAATACTGTGAAATTTCTGACTGAATAGGGACTATTTTTGAGGTAATTGTCAAAAATCTTTCTGTAAAACTGATTTAACTGTACAATTTTGCTCCATTATTATTACTATACAAATAGTGACCTTGAGAGAAAAACACACCAATAAATAAGAGTTTCCATTTTTAGCTTACCATGATGAACTCTGTGATGACTGGGAGTATTGAGAATCCACTCCAGAGGCCCAAGTTTGTTGATGACCTTAAAAAACATAGTGTTCAAATGAACTTGAAAATACTGTATAAGATCAAGAAGGAAGGAAAACAGAGGGAGCAAATGCAAAAAGGAGGGTATTTATCTTATGGAGAATTGCATAAAAAGATAAAAAATCAAATTTTTTTCCTGAACCATTTAATTTTATTACTGTTAACAAGAACTTTCATGAAAATAAAATTAGTAAAATAGAAATTAAAAATACAATTTCTTTTGGATCCAGCAGCAAATTTTCTTTTTATTGTTATCAGCTCATGATTCCATGAGGATCATTGAGAGAACTGGGAATCATGAACTGATAATATCATGGAATCACAGGGAAGTGATTAACCTGCTGTAGTCAGCACTGGCAAGGCTGCACCTTGAGTACTGCGTTCAGTTTTGGGCACCTCACTTCAAAACGGACATAGAAGTGCTGGAGCATGTCCAGAGCAGGACAATGGAGCTGGTGAAGGGTCTAGAAAACATGTCCTATGAGAAGCATCTGAGGGAACTGGGGTTGTTGAGTCTGGAGAAGAGGAGACTTGAGGGGATCTCATTACTCTCTACAACTACATGAAAGGAGGTTGTAGTGAGGTGCAGGTCAGTCTCTTCTGTCATGTCTCAAGTGAAATGACAAGAGGCAATGGCCTTAAGTTCCACCAGGGGAGGTTCTCATTAGATATTTGAAAAAAAGGTGTTTCATTGAAAGAGTGGTTAGGCATGGGAATAAGTTGTTCAGGGAGGTGGTGGAGTCATCATTTCTGGAAATGCTCAAGAGGCATTTGGATGTGGCACTCAAGGATATGGTTTAGGGGTGATTCTGGTGCTAGGTTGATGGTTGGACTGGATAATTTTGAGGGTCTCTTCCAACCTTGCTGATTCTGTGATTTCATACAAATTGTTTCACTCATAGTTCTTACCCATATCCACAGGCATTGCTTGGGATCCAGTGTTACTCTATGATCCCAGTTATGTGAACACTTTACACCAGCAAATGGCTGGCATTGACCCAGAAACAAGTACCCTTTCCTCATTAAGCATCCTTGACTGCTTGTTCCTTCTATCAATACTCTTCTTTTACCCCACACAAATGCAGTAACACAACAAATCTGATTAGGGGACTGATGGAAATCAAAACTAATTTTGTTTTGTTTTTCTAAGTTAATTTAACTGGATTAGTTCCTGAATCTGATCCAACATATGGTTACAAATACACCACATGAGTAGGAGGCATGAAAAGAAAATAGACCAGCATAAATTCAAGGTGGTGCTGCAATCTAAGGCAACGAGACAACAGTACAGAAAGTCCAGCCTTGATCATTTTAGTACCAAACTAAAAACTATAGAAAATTATAATTGCCATAAACTCACTCTATAATGTTTCAAGCTTTGTCAGAAAATGCTGATAAAACAACTTTGTATCAGCAAGGTTTATGCTAAATTAGGTATTTTAGAATCGGGAATCATGGAGCTAGTGGAAAGCCATCACTGACTTCAAATTTTGTGCTCTGGTTAGCTCAACGTAACCTGAACATAGCAACCATTCCTTAATCTGAAACACAAATCTATCAATCACAAATAGGTGAACTCACTGGATGACCAAAAAGGATTTCTATTCACAATATATTTTATAATGGCAACTATTACCTACGTCTGATTATGACCATAATGTCCTGCAATTTAAGAGGGGGGAGGGTTGAGAGGGGAGAGGAGGGGCAGGGAGGGGAAGACCATAAAATCAGCTAAATAAAAATGCTTAGACCTTAAGAAACAGAACAAAGTATCTACCACTTTGTCTTTTACAGAACTTAATTAGCAAATTTAATACTCATACTGCCAAAAGGGGTGATCTGTAATATAATAATAGAGATAAGATAATATTGGCAAAAACCACATTAAGTAGAAAGGCAAACAGTCACTACTCATGAGAGCAGGTGAATTCATCTAAAAACTAGACACGATGATCTTTATTCATTTAAGGTTTACAAAACAAAGTCTTTAAACATGGCTGTTCCATTTCTCTTTTATTTTGCAGATGTGCAAGTGCAAGTAGATCTGGACTCAAAAACAGACTCAGAACACTCCTCAGATTTATGTAAATTTTTATGACTCAGGTAAATATCACAATAAAAGGATAAAAATACCCCCCAACAACAAAAAGAAGATCTACTTAATTGGTTACATAGAGCATTTCTGTAATTAAAGGAGTATAGAAATGAGAAAATTCTTCAGATAGAATAACATTTGGAGTACCTTTCTCAAAATCCTGCACACACTTGACCAGAAAAGCAGAATACTGAGACAAGTTTGGTTTGTTTTATTTAACTCAGAAGCCAAGAACAACACACGTAAGACCATTTGCATTTCTCAGTTCTCCCTCAAAATAAGCTCGAGTTTGAAAAGACCACCTAAAGGTAAGAAATGATTCATCATTCATACTAGTTCCATTTCCCCCCTTTCTCAAGCAGAACATCCCACTGTTTTAAGATATGTGAGATGTGACCATAAATTTAATCAGATCCAAATGTCTTGTATTGAACTGCAACCCAGCACCCGAGAGAGCAGTGATTTATCTATTAGACCACAACCAACTTTGAACCAGTTGGTTTTAATATATTTTTAGTTCAATATTTTAACAATTTTTGCAAAAATAAACCAAATCTGCACTACTAGAGCAGGGAATCAGTAAGGAACAGCAGTCTTCACTTTTAGCTTACAGGTGGATTATAATAAAATGTCCTCAGAATTAATGTCTTCAGGTCTCAATATCCAGCTGACTGAATGAATATTTTAAAATTAAAATTCATCCTTTTGGAAGCCTACTTAATACATCCATATGCTTCGTGTTTGAGGATGCCATAGGACCTCAGGAAATTATGCAAAATTTGAAATAAATATTTCTGACTAATCCTAGAGAAAGTATTTTCTTTGGATAATGAAACCTCTCTCATCCTTTAAAACAGTCTTTCTTTGAGTGATGACATTTGCAAATCTACTGAAATATCTTCTCTACAGCATAATTAGTGATTGATGCCTGAGCCTACTTCAATTCATTATTTGGTCAAGGCTACCTCCATTGCAATGACATATTAGCCACACACTGATGAAAATATCCTCTGAGATAACAATTATAACCTCAAGTCTTTTAAGCTCAGGGGTGGTACAGAATTCTGTACCTAACAAAGCAAAAATCCAGTATGCTGAATTTAGCAATCCATAAATCAATGCTTTGTCTAAAACACATCAAAAATATTTTTCACCAGATAGTCAAAATGGTACAGGGTGCTGTTCCTAGAATATTCCTTTGCTATCAATAAGTTTACTTCTAGATTACTAGCACATTCCTAAAACATAAAAAACTGTTGTCAGTGGAAAACTTTTGGTGCCAAACATTTTATATATATGGTGCCAAAATATTTTATAAACATATACACTACA